TGAGCCCCCCTGATCAGGCGTACTATAGCTGTGTCGGTATCCCAGAAAACGGATCTCATATTGAAAGCAACCAAGCACTGCTTAGAATCAGAGGTATTTTTTGTTGGGGTGGGGAAGGTATTGTTCTATACAAACCAGTTACATCTGAAATTTTATCTTTAGGCAGCGACCCAAGACAATTACCAAAATGATATTACCCTTATAATAAAAGATAATTATCCGGTACTATTTGTCAGTTAATATCATTGAGAATATGCAATTAATTTGTATTCCAGGGAGTACTTGCACTAGAATCCATTCTTTAATTTTGTTTTTTATTATAGTAATGATAATAATAATAATTAACAGCTACATTTATATTGCGCACGTAAATATCCCAGGGGTGCTTAATGGCCTAAATAGTATAATTGTTACACTGGCTTTAGCCTAGCTGCTCGGAGGCTCTTAAAACGTTCGAGGAATAAATTGCCACCAGGTACCCATTCAATTCACCAAGGTGACGAATGGCAAATGTATATCAATGTCTTGCCAAAGGACATTAGTACTGTGGCGTGTGATGAACCGCGAACCATGTAATCCACAGTCCGGTGACGTTTCCACTAGACCAAAACACGTCTATATGGTACTCTCATTTATGTATATCAAACAACACATATCCGTTGAAACTATGCAACATCGTATCACAGCAATATGCCATCTGCATATTGCAACACGACTTGGGGTGGGGGGGGGGGGGGGGTTGTTTCCAGTGAATTCTGTTGAACAACCTTTGTGAAATATCATAACTTTTAAACGGTATCAATTATTTTTTTAATGTTTATTTTTATAATTACAGATATGTCTATTTTTCATCTGAAGTTCAGGCTTCTAATAATTTTCACGTCAGTTTACGCTGATCAAGAATCTACAGATTACAAGACCCTTGTGCGTGCTATTAAAAAAAAGGTAAAGGGTACCGTTATTTGTAATTTATCTCTAAATATAAATTCTCCTTCACTGTTCCCAGTTTGTGAGAGAGCACATCCTTGATAAGATTTTAAGTAACGAAATGAGTCAGAAAACAATACATGTACCTGTTTCTTTCATTCACATATTTATTCATTCATATGAATTTGTCATGGAAATTTGCTTCGCTCACAAACATTTAATAATTACTCTTGTATAATGATATCATGTAACGTCCATAAACATTGGGCAGAATATATAAAACTAGCAAAATTAATTTTGCTACTTTTTTTCAGTGTCTATGTAAGATACAACCAAAGCCTAGAAAAGACATGTGCTAGGAAATGTCCAATCTTATGTAAACATACTCAACTGGATTAAATATCCATGATATTGTTGGCTTCATTTGATATCTAGTTCGAAGCGGTGTTTGAGGAGCTTGAAACCGAGAGGGACACCAATGGCACTATTTACATTCACGTGAACCAACTTCTACCAGATGACGGTGTGTTGGTTGATATGAGAGCTTACATAGCCGACAGTAGCATGACTACACAAGAAGAAATGGACCTGCTGTGGAGCGGATTATTCTCTGTGGAGAAAATCTCTGACGGTTACTTGGACCGTTCCCTCCTTCTGGTACTAAGTACAGGTGAATCTTGCTCACTTGAAATCATATTTAACCTTTAGGAGTTCAGTATTTGTTCTTATTTCTTAATTTTCTAAATTAATCAGTTTTCCCTCCTTAAAAATGACAAGAAAAAATCTTGTTTTCCACGCCTTCATCGTATGGAGAAGAAACAAATTATTAGATGAACCTATATGAAAGACAATTTTTAAATTTAATACAAATTTAACACAAATTTGCCAATTTGTACATAAAAATAGTGATTTTATATCTTATATTGTGTTGCAAATTTATATACTGTAATAATTAGTTACAACGTACTGCATTGGAAGTAGCCTCAAAATATGTTGATAGACTATAGATGATGCAAAAACGTCACTAAATGGAGACACTGTGTCTTCAAAAAGTGAATGACAGTAGGATCATCTGGTATCAGTGGCGTACGCAGGTTTTTTTTCAAAGGGGGGGGGGGGGTTAACATTTCGAAATCGGGCCCAAAATTTCGCAACGACTCAGCCAGTCGCTGAATAAGCAGGGGGGGGGGGGGGGGTTAAGAGGACATTTTTTTGTTGGCGTCCCAAAAATTTCGCAACGACTCAGCCAGCCATTTAATAAGGGGGGGAGGGGTTAAGAGGACATGTTTTTATTTTTTTTGGTTCCGAAATTTGAAGATTTCACCGATCGACATTCCTTTTCGTTGCGGGGGGGGGGGGTTAAGGTCATCTTTTTTAGGTCGCCCTTTAGGATTAAAAAAAAAAAGGAACTCAAGAAACATACACATAACACAAACTGAAGGTGGGTTTTAGCCCCCCCCCCCCCCCCCCCCGCGCCTGTCTGGTATGCAGCGGCCTTGACACAGACTTCCAAGAAAGTAACCAAGAGCAGTGAAGATATCCCATTGCATCACTTCTTAAAACGTTCAAGAACTGCAATCACAGAAATCTACATTCTCTCTCTCTCTCTTTCTTAGTTCTATGTCCAAACACCTTTTGGTCATCTCCGTACGGTATTGTCCAGTTTTCGTCGGGAGAACTTCATTCGTGGAGTGAATCGAGTGGAGAATGTCCATGGTTCACCGTCAATGGTACAATGGTCCAGTTATAGTAATATTTTTTTCTTTAGACTTTAGATAGTTAAGCTTACATGAGAAAGCAAACCAATAGATGTTAAGATTAGTACCGACTGGAAAGTTCTTTGATAAAACATGATAATCATAATAACAACAGTGGTAGTTGTACTGTTAATGATAATAATGATAGCAATATTAATATAATAACGATAAGAAGATGAAGAAAAAGAAGAACATATATGATAATGATACTAATAACAAAAATTTTTACCCCGAGAAGCCTCATCAGTATCATGCTGTTCGTCCTGGGGACCCTGTATCCATAATTACCCCAGGCACTGCCAGGCTTTTTATTTATACCTGAGTGGAGGGTAGCAAATGTGGATTAATATCTTGCCAAAAGACATTAGTGTCGGACTGGGATTCGAACCCTCAACCCGGATATTGAAAGTCAAAAGAACGAACCACCATACCCCGACATCATCACGTAACATACAGTGTTACTATGAGACCGATAATATATTCTTAACTTTGATTTTTCCTAAAGATGGAGAGCCAATAGCACGAGCCGTCTGCTCTGGTGATTATATCTCCCCTTGTACATGGGTACCTTCAATCAACTGCGGTGGCAATAAAACAGCTGATCAACTCTTAATCTACTTACGAGAGGTAAACCTGATCTTATTCTAAATATTTTGTTATGGAGTTCCTGGTACTGTTTGTTGTTATAATACATGATCAGCTGGCTCTGTGCAGCTAAGGTGCACACAAATGTTATTGCGGAATGTTTTCAACCCTTAAGCACTTGAAAATTATATTTTATCGACAAAAATCATCTAACCATATTGCTCCGGTTGTCTCATTTTCGCTCGCTGGACGTATATAGCAGACGACAATCGGCGGATTAGACGACACTTGGTAGTAAATTTGTATGTGAGATTGCTTTGCTAAATATAAAATACAAGAACATTTTCCATATCTTTAAACTATCATTGATATCTGATAGTTAAACAGTTATTAAAATAAACCTACCAAACTACATAATACAATGAAATACTTAAAGTAGGGGAGTTTGATGTGGTGCACAATTACACCCCTCTGTAAATAATCGAATAGTCCATGGTGATCATGAATATTCATGTTTTTGCTTACCTCGGCGAAATGTTTGTTTTTACTAAATGGAAAAATTATGGTGGGGGTTGGATGAAATGGACATAATGAACCAAGCAGAAGTGATCTATGATAATTCATGTTTCTTATCCTTCGTGTACTTTACCTATAATCTTACAATCGCTTGGCAAATTGAGTCCAAAGTTCGACTTGTTTCACATGTGTTATATAGGCAATGGCGAGCTTGCAACCTATTTTCATCAAATTACGGTGGGTGAACTTTCAAAAGTCAATGGGACATGAGGGTTCCAATGAAAGAGCTAGTGATAACGTACGTCGGGGTGGCTGTGCTTCTCGTTGAAACAAAAAATGAATTTTTAACGATTTTGTTTTGGGGTAAAATTGCATAGGCTAACATGCCAGGCTGCTCCCTATATGACGAAAGGGAGGCGTTGTCAAATGAGACTTAACGGAGCTATACGCAAACTTAAAACTAGAAATGAAAAAAAAAAGGACTAATCCATTCTAGAAGAAGAAAGTTCTAGTTGTAATGTCTTACTTTGTGAAAATTATATTATTATTTAGTAATTAATAGTAGTAGACGTATTGCTCAATTGTTATTACTATTATAATTATTACTATTATTATTATTGTTATTTTAATCAATTAATTTTTATTGAATCTAATATGATCGTTATAAAAGATATCTGATTATAGTCATTCACTTTTTGATATCAGTATCGCTAAAGCCCCGGTCACAAATACCGTTATGAACGCCGTACGAATGATTTCAGACCATTTCGTAAGATCTACTTAAGAAGGCCGTACGTAACAAGCGTTCGTAGACCATTTGAAAGTTTTAAGTCCGGGCGATGGTCTTGTCAGAGATTTTTTTTCAACCTAGTACGAAATCCTCTCTTCGTAAGGCAGCCGTACGTCGTAATAACGTCGTAATAACATCGTGAGAACCACGCAAGATCTTTGTAAATTTCGTAGGGTCGAGAGACAATAGCCTCAAATTGTTACGATGATTGTAAGAACGCCTAAAGTTGTTCATAGAAGGCTCTTACGGCGTTCGTAAGAACGCCTTACGAACGGAGATTCGTATGGCGTTCGTACGAACGACTACTGGTGTTCCTGCTCGTAAGGTGTACGTACATAATTTATGCAGTTTATGCAAAGTCTTTTTGCAACCCCGACAAAATGTCCACAAAAAAATCGTAACATCTTCTTACGAATGATCTGAGAATGCCGTCAGTTGCACGTACGACCATCTTGCGAGAACAACAACTCGTAAGATGGCCGTAAGCCTGACGTTAGAAGAACTGAAGGCGTTCTTACGAAAAACGTACGAACTCTAGGGCCATTGTATAACCGAAAATCACTTCGTTTATAAAGGAGGTTTTGAGTTGTTCTTACGAGCCCCATCTACGAATCTCTACGAACTCTGAAATTCGTAGGAACAGAGAGATTCGTACGACGGTACGAACATTAGTAACCGTAGCTTTAGAAAGACGTAAGAAACTATTCCCCATCTACGAATCTCTACGAACTCTGGAATTCGTACGAACCTTTGTGACCGTGGCTTAACCTTTAATTATCGAAAATGTAGAAAATGCGAGTTCCCTATTTTAGTTGATTTGTGCATCTTATGATGTGTTATAGTGCTAATTCATATTTAAATTTCTTTCACAAAAATATAGGATGATTCTTTAAGTCATGTAAAACTATACTGGTTTGAAGAAAGTATCTTTAATAATTACACGAGAATAAAAGCCGATAACCGGTCAATTCAAAATGTGTGTTTTGTTGATAGAATCTGACGACGGGTGAAAGCGACATCCAGGACGTTCTGTCAGTGTTGACTTTGATCTCACAGGACACGAATATTACTTCTGCTGGGATCGGTGCTGCATTTGACATCATTCACCAGATGGGCTCAATTTCTCAACCAACGCAAGAGGTGATTTGATCGAATTTTTAAATTATTGCACGATACGCGTTAATTGATTTAATGAAAGATCACCCAGTTGAACAAAATAACTGAATTTCATTATATTCATTGCTTTAGGCGCTTATAGAAATGTTATTACCCCTGTCATCGGATTAAGGCTTGCCTGCACACAATGCATGCACATTCTTCCCTCCGTGGTGATCATCCCAGCCAGTCGCTATTTAACGGACCCTTACAATGCTCAGCAAATCACATAAAGAATCGCATCCTACCGGGAACCCATTCAACACCTGGGTGGAGAGTGGCTAAATTAGATTGACGTCTTGAAAAAGGAAATCATAGTGCCGCCGGGGTTTCGAATCCTGAACCTTGTGATCAATAGTATGGTGACTTATCCACTAGACTACAGCACCTCTGTATTGTTGTTGCTATTATATTTTTGTATTATCATTGATAATCTTAATATTATTATAATTGTTGTTATCATTTTTTATTATGATTGATGTTGGTATTATTATTATCATTATTAATATTATTAAACTGATTATGTTGGGATTGTAATCATTGTCACTAATATTATAATTGTCACAATAATTTTCATCATGATCGTAATTTATAATATTATTGTTATTCTTCTCATCATATCATCATTAGTAATATTATTACTATTAATACAAAATTATTTCAAGAATTATTATTATCATTATTAGGGTCCATTACCACCACCATCGCCATCATAATCATCATCATCAACATCATCATCATCATCATCATCAGTAATCGTTTGTTCTTGTTTTATGCTAGAATGTGGCCTCTGTCGTTGACATCTTAAGCATCCTGGCCATGTTAGACAAAGGCATGATCATGGAGGCGGAGATGATGAATGGTGCTGTCAGCAGAGCCACCATGGCCTTAAAGAACATCCTTCTTGCTGTCAATGTGCCTTCCAACCAGACCTTCCAACAAGTGGCAGCAAACCTAGTAGTACAGGTATGATGAAAACAAATAAATCATAAATCTGGATTTAAATACACTACTAAAGTGTGACTTCATATTGGCTCAGTTCTCAAGTTTGCTTGTTCCAGAAAAAATTATGCTAAACAGTGGTGTGGTGATCTCACCAGCTCAGACGCTGAATTTGCCCTGCTACAGGCCGTTACTTCAATAATTTGACTTGAATATGATGTTAGCACTTCGGTGCTCTATATAGTGTTTAATATGAAATACCGTTTCTAAATGCTTTACAGATATCATACATATTACCCCAGCAGTTGGGTTCATGAACGCACAATGTGCACAATTTCCACTCACTGGGGAGTATTGCTACCACACAGTAACCATGATGGGATATGACAATGTCTATCACATAGGTTTTTTTCATCCTACCAGGTCCCCATTTCCCTCCTGGGTATGGAGTGGTAAATGTGTATTAATGTCTTGTCAAATGACATTAGTGCTGCATGTGTCGGGGATCTAACCCACGACCTTGGCATTTCCAGCCAAGGTTTTTAAACCACTCAACTACGTCACCTATATAGGTATGCTATGACAGATCTCTTATCATTTAGAGGTGTCGTGGTGTAGTGGTTCATCCACTCTCAGACCAAGGGTTAAGGGTTCGATTCCCAGCCTGGCGGCTTACCTCGCCATATTTGAAGAAGCCTTTAATCTTACTATGCATTTCTTTAGGTAATCGACTCTAAGTCTGATGGTGTCCGTGATGGGATTGTCTTCTCCATCATCGGCGATGACAGCCAATCCTTTGATGAAAGTGACATCCAGCTATCCACCGACAATCTCGACAGCGGTAACCTTGGCGATGTCGTCCAAGCAGCTATCGTCATTGGACCAGGGACCATTGATGAAGGCACCATGAGGAATATAGCATTCACTGTGTACCGAGACGATGCATTGTTTGTAATGGACGGTCAAGTGGGAAGCAATGATGGGCGTCGCAATATCACGGTCAATACTAATATCATCGGAGCGAGCCTTGGTACGAGTGAAACCACACCTCTGAATGCTCCGGTCACCATAACACTGGCACACAAGCAGGTAAGATATCAATCACTTCATGAGCTAGTTTGTAGATTCTACCTGCTCAATGGGCAGATTTCAAGTCATTTGTACCAAATTGTAAAACCCACCGAGTCGGATATTGAATATGTATTCATCAAGGTTTTTTGAAATCATTATTTGTTTAAGCACAATACCTTTCATGATACATGAGTGAAAGCAGTAGCGTAATGAGGAAAAGCCTTTTTTTTTGGGGGGGGGGGAAGGAAGGGGGGGCAGAGCACCTTTTTTTTTGAGGCAACATTAAGCGCCGATTCAGCCGGTCGGTGAATAAGCTGGGGGGGGGGGGGGGGGTAAGAGCACATTTTTTAATTTTTTTTTTTTTATCTAGTTTTTTTAGGAAAAAAATTGCGCCAACTCAGCCAGTCGGTGAATAGGCGGGGGGGGGGGGGGGGGGAGTGATGGAGAGAAGAACCACTATTGGGGGGGGGGGGGGCGAAAATATATATATATATTCATTTTTTTGTCAAGGGGGGGGGACATGCTTTTGCTTTTTTGTTTTAAAAAGGTTAAATTTACGTTATTATCCTCTTTTTTTTGGCCTTTTTTTGTTGAAAATCATGTGACATTACGAACATTTATATATAACTTATATGGAATTTTTAATAAGTCATGGTTTAATGTGAGTGAAAGTATTTTTGCAAGAGGGCAAAAAAGTGCCCCTCAGTGACTTTGGCATTGATCATTCTAGATTGCACAAATTGTGGACATACTACGAATGAAGGATTTGTTTGATTGATTGATTTTTAATCATATTCCAAGCACAAATTTACAAAATGTATAAAAAATTATCCTGAACCATAGTCATCAATGACATGAATCAATGTTCTGCAAATCATTTAAGTACAGAAATGAAAAGTGAACTTACTTAAAACCTGTTTTTATTTGTATATTCAAATGGAAATTTAAACGTGTTTTTCTCTCAAAACAATTTTATATACTTCCAGCAAAATGCAACGAATCCGCAGTGTGTGTTTTGGGAATATACCACTAATGCTTGGTCAAGCGATGGATGTGATATGACAAACACTTCCGAGACACACACCGAATGCCAGTGTAATCATCTTACCAACTTTGCTGTCCTTATGGTAAGAACAGGAAATAATAATGATGATAACAATGGAGATAAAGATAACAACAATAACACTAATCATAATGAAAATGGTAATGATAATAATGGCAATAATAATGATAGTGATAATAATATTTAAAGGTAAATTATTCAGGAAAGTTGCACAACCATAGCATAATATGCATTTTATATTATTCTGTATGACATTTACTTATGATGTTAATATATGTTAATATTATGTACTTTTTACATAATCCCCTACAACAATTTAGAATCAAATTAATAGATTAAAAAATCAAGACGAAATCGGACGAATTGTTACCTGTGATTCGTGGTTCTTATCAGCCTCACCGTCTAACAACACGTCATCCTTTGGAATTGGCATATTCCAATCCAATAGTTTGCATATTCATAACAGTATTGTTGATACTTTTTGTCAAAGTCTGCAGATAAATCATTAAGACATTTAAAAACTCCAAACGCCAAATCTCCTAATTGGTTTATTCTATTTCATTGTGTTGCTTTCTGTTTCTCATCAGGATGTGAGTGGCATCCCCAGACGATCAGAGAGAGTTGAACAAGTGTTGAGGATTCTCAGCTACATAGGATGTTCTCTCTCCATTTTAGGCCTCCTGGTGACTCTTGCTGTCTACAGCACAGATAGGTAATACTCTGAGGAAAATCCATCATAAAACTTTATTTTAAAAGAAGGCTAAACATAAATCAGAAAAGCAGGCAGGTGAAAACTTTCAACGAAATCGGACCCTAAAGGTTGCAATCACTATAATTATAGGCACTTACTAAGGAGTATCGGCAACTTTCCAAGTTGTTTCTACACAAAAAATGACTAAGATATCACTTTCTTTTCAAAATTTAGGAATAAAGTACCTTTTAAATATGCTATCCAAGATCAGTTCAGTTAATTTTATTTTTGCACGGCACCAACTTCAGCCAAAAGGTCTTGAGTAGTGCCCCAAGAAAGTGCAGGAAATAATCATATTTTGTCAATATGAGACTCACATAGATCGATTTAGTGATCTCATATTTCAAACATTCATAACTCTCTTTTTACTGGTCCAATATATTTCAAACTTAACTATTCTGTTTCTCTATTTTTTCTGCTTTAGTACTAATGAACTATTACACACGTTGGATTGCCTTTAAACTTCCATGTCCCTACCCTTCTTCCATCAACAAAAGGTCTCAATCCTTAGGAAGACTATAATGGTCTCCATAGTTTATTCAGTCTAGCGTTTAAACTCATATTTGTTTATCATGGAAGTAATCTTACTCTCTTTACACCTACTTTAGCTATACCGATTTGTATTGTATCGAATACAAAAGATGTTTTATGCTTTCTAAGTTGTTGTGGATTCTCAGCCCTAGCTAGGTCTTGTGTAATTCTTTTTGTAGTCCCCCTTAATGTGTTTTTGAAAGTTCAAAGGTCAAAGGCTATATAAATATCTAAACTAGCTTTTTAAAGAGTACAGATGCTTATTATAGGAGTAGTGTCTACAAAAAGTGACGATTCTGCTGTCAAATTTTACCAGCAATTGCAATGTACTTAGTAGGTCAGATTAATCAACTCACCTATTTAGCTCTGAAAACATTTAAATGCCATCATAATTTACCTCTGTTTCTCTTTGCCCCAGGAAACTTCGTTGCTTGCAGCACATCTGGATCTTAATGTGTCTCTGCATTACGCTCCTCTTCCTATACGTCTTCTTCATCATCATGACAGCACTCGACCGATATCCTGGAGAACCTGAGGTCGGTCCAGGTCTGTGTGGAGTCATCGCTGCCGGCCTCCACTTCACCACGCTCTCATCGATGTCATGGATGGGCGTTGAAGGGATAAACATGTTCGAAATTGTCATGGATTCGTATATCCCACTCTTCATGATAAAGGCCTCCATCATTGCATGGGGTAAATTGCTGTTATAACTTGTTTGTCCCAAACTCCCAAGGTCTTTTGTCATGCGATTAAGTTTAAAGGGCTTGAACCATACAAGCATTAATTTCTTTTAGCATGCCCCTCCTTTTCAATGTATGCATTCAGGTCATCTGTGTTCTGGAAACAAATTCAGTTCTTCATTAATTATATTTGGCCAATTCACAATTGTATTTCTTTGTTTTTTAAAATCAATTATTGAGTTTTTTTGTAGTCGCTTTGGATTTCCAACAACTGTGTAGATGTGACTGTGCTCGGGAAGGGAAGGGGGATTCTTTGAGATTTGGGAATAAATGGGGAGGGGATAGGTAAGTTTGTATGTGTGTCTGAGTATGTGAGCGTGTGTGGTGTGTCTGTCTGTCTGTGCGTAAGGTTTTGATCTATAATATTCATTCAGTATAATTAATTTGAAGACATTATGTACTGTGTATGAAAGGACAAGTCCACTCGAAAAAAAAACTTACTTTCAATAAAAGCAGAAAAATCAGACAAACCAGTCCAAAAGTTTGAGAAAAATCGGATAACTAATATTAAAGACAGTTATGAATTTTTGAAAAAGTATGTCAAACTATAGAACAATGAGAATCACAACACAAATTGCCAAGATGGTTATCAGTTAGTGAGGTCTTGTACTCACTATTTATCAATTGCTCTATATGGTTTAATCCCATTAATTTCCCTTTTTATTCCCCCAAACTTGATTTCCCCATGCTTTTGCCCAGGTTATACACTGTTGCTCATAACGGTGGAATATATTTTTTTATCCCAATTTATGGAATTATTTTAAAAATAATTTAAAAATACTAGATCTAGATAATAGTATACAGTCTCAGATTTTATTGAATAATAATTTGCCAATATGTGTTTTGCGTGACTGCTAAAGCATGTATATTATGCTACTATGTTTATCAACTAGGGGACCTATGCCCTTAAGTCATAAATGACAGTAATGAGGATTAATGCCTCACAAAAGGGCTCTGATATAGCACATCGACACGGTGTTGATCCTGGGGCCTCACAGTTACGAGGCCATTGCTTTGTCACTGAACCATGACTGTACGCAGCGGGGGCTAGGGTAGGGGGCAGTTTCCATAAATTAAAAAAACAACAGAAAATGCAATAAATATTCAATAATTTATTGCATTCTACCCCGGTCCCCAACATAAAAAAATCCTCTGGACGGCCATGCATTATGGCTCAAGGCATGTGCACACAGAATATTTTTTTATGTTGGGGACCGGGGTAGAATGCAATAAATTATTGAAAATTTATTGCATTTTCTGTTTTTTTTTTAATTTATGGAAACTGCCCCCTACCATAGCCCCCGCTGCGTACAGTCATGGTTCAGTGACAAAGCAATGGCCTCGTAACTGTGAGGCCCCAGGATCAACACCGTGTCGATGTGCTATATTAGTGCCCTTTTGTGAGGCATTAATCCTCATTACTGTCATTTATGACTTAAGGGCATAGGTCCCCTAGTTAATAAACATAGTAGCATAATATACATGCTTTAGCAGTCACGCAAAACACATATTGGCAAATTATTATTCAATAAAATCTAAGACTGTATACTATTATCTAGATCTAGTATTTTTAAATTATTTTTTAAATAATTCCATAAATTGGGATGAAAAAAAATATTCCACCGTTATGAGCAACAGTGTATGATTTGTATCATATTGCGTGCATGACATTTTACAAAATCTTTTATGAACTTTGGAGAATTTATACTATTATCTGAATATTGTATATTCATAAAATTTGATTTTAATATAAATAGTTTATCAAAATTCAAATTTGTCATGATTTAACTGGAAAAATTACTCTATATTAGTGCATCCACACAAAAACATATTACTATTAATCTAACTTGGATGCTGGTGTTTATTTACATTTTGATATGTTATGTACATCAATGAAGATGCATGTTTTTTATAACTATTTTGGACTGAATAAATGAGATTAAGAATGCTAAAACAACAAATATTAAAACAGAAATCAATTAATCAATCAATGAGTCAAACATTGCTAAATTCTTATCATAGTAGGCCTATACATCTTTGATCTATTTGCATTTCCTAGCTTACTGGAACATCACTTCTCCTTTTGTCCTTGTTTTTGTTCTTTTTTATTTCCTCTTCTTTTTATAGAGAGTTTAGATCAAACATGTGATATTAATGTATTTGTTTGACAGGATTACCTGCTGCGATAGTGCTCATAACTGGTGCTATCTCGAGACAGAATTACGCCAACTCAGACTAGTAAGTACTGTACTCTCTATTTCATTCTCATCCTATCCAACAAACATTAGTAATAAAGTATGATCAATTATCATTCTTTGTTGCTCATGTTAGAAGTCGCTGGAATGTTGGAGAATATGTTGTTGTCTAAGTTCTTTTAAGACCACCTGGTTTCATCTCGTGATATTTAGTCACTAATAATTTTATTAAAGGAAATTGAGCAGCATAAAATAAAACTCGCCCTCAGCTGCTGCGGTGGCAGAATACTACTCATTTAGATACACACCAAACTTCACTAAAAACTACAACAGTTTGAAATTAATATGATTGAATGAAAACAAAGAAAGCCACGGAAATCGAGCTAATCGTCCAAACCAAAACTGTCCGTGAACATTATGTGGTATGATTTTGCATGTCAATTATATTTATAAGAGAGTTTTGATAATAAAGTGATAACATTTTGTTAGTATAATGAACCATCGATTAAACATCATGACAATTTTCTTTATCCGGAGATATGGGGTGGTATTCTGATAGCGCGTACTAAGTTAAAAAATAGTAGAATACCACCCCAGATTGTTAATACAAATCAGTATAGCATGGAAGAAAGACATATAATCAATATGTTCGTTTTGCACTCATCAGAGTAAACCACACTAATATTATCTGATTTCGGTTACTTTGCCGCAAGACTAAAATCTCTCGTATCTCTTTATTCACTGTTATTGTTAAATTGTTTGCATTTTCTTTTGTATATTATATTATATTATATTATAAGGATTAATATTTCCCTTTTCAACTATACAGCTGTTTTCTTCAGAAATGGCCTCTCGTAGGCGGTCTGCTAATCCCTATGGCAATCATTCTCGCTCATAACGTGATCATCTTCGCTCTCGTTAGATGTCTTGTGCGCATCAACCGGCGCCAGGAGATCATGCGCCGTCTCAAAAACGGGATCGGCGTCCTCCTCCTACTTGGTTTGACCTGGCTTGTTGGATATTATACCGTGACCGAACAACTCAATCTCGCAGTCCACGTCATCTTCATCCTACTCAACTCTCTCCAAGGATTCTTCATCTTTGTTTTCTACGTTCTCCGACAACCTCAAAGCCGTGCGCGCTTGCGGGAACGCTTGGGTTGCTGTTTCCACGATTCACCCTTGACGGTAGGTGCAAATACGATGAGTATGAAACAAATGAGGATGACAGGAACAGGGAACCCGGTTAACAAATCTGATATCGATGAACATGTCTATGAGGATGTATCTTAGTAATGCATTACCCTGCATACCTTAACTCACATTTCCTTTCAATATTCAATTTTGGTATAGGCCCACTGATTTGTAAAACTCTGAGTCTAGTCAACAATAATCATTTGCTTTATATAATGTACAATAGTTTAAATCACTTTGGCACATTTTTTAAAACTATTTTTTTTTTTTAAAGTTGTGTATATATTTTTTTGTTTAAAACTGACTCAACAAAACTTTAGGTATTGAAATTCGCTGATATTATATCCGAAGCTCCAAAATGCAAATTATGAAATGCTATAATTAGATATTTCAAACGGTTTTCATTTTAAACCAAAGGAAAATCTAGGTGTAGTGCAAACATTATCGTACTTGTAGTGATATGCAAAATTGAAATACTTATCTTGTTTGTACATAGTGGATATTTAGAATATGTAGCCCTTTTTTTCGTTGATTCATATCTTCTGGTCATGTTATTTTGTTTCCCAAAATGTAAATCAAATATTTGGAATAGAAAATTTCTGTCTTTCATTTTATGTCCTTATATTTGTTAACCTAAAAGTGGATGTTTACTTTCGCTTACTCAAATGTATCCTATTTCTATATTCATATGGCATTTCCCGTCATTAGTTGTCATCTTTAATGTGTGTTTCATACGCATGATTATCAATGCAGGGGGGGGGGGGGGGTAAGAGTACGGTTTTTAATTTTTTTTTTTTGGTCACGAAATTTGTAAATTTGACATTTCGCTCCGTGGGGGGGGGGGGGGAGGGGGGTAAGGTCACCTTTTTAGGTCAGCCATTGGCAATTATTTTTTTTTTTTAAATAAAATTAAAAAAATATAATTTTTCTTAAGGGCGGGGGGGGGGGCACGCCCCTGTTTTCCAGTATATTTTGGGCGAATTTAGGGCTGATTTTAACATTTGTTTTTTGGCCGGGGGGGGGGGGAACGCGCACCATGTGCACGAAATTTGTAAATTTGACATTTCGCTCCGTTGGGGGGGGGGGGGAGGAGGGGGGGGGGGGGTAAGGTCACCTTTTTAGGTCAGCCATTGGCAATTATTTTTTTGTTTTAAATAAAAAATTGAAAAATATAATTGTTCATAAGGGCGGGGGGGGGGGGCACGCACCTGTTTTCCAGTATATTTTGGGCGAATTTAAGGCTGATTTTAACATTTGTTTTTGGCCGGGGGGGCACGTGCACCCTGTGCCCCCGCCCCCTGGATCCGCCACTAACTTTATATCATTCAGTTTACGCAGAGTACTTTTAATCATTGATTGATGCATCGTTCGTGCTACTGAGTGTAAATAGGCATACATGTGTATATGTGAGGAGGAACCCTTTATTTCATTTTATATTCGTCTTAGTGCTTAGTCTCATGTTATCCCTTATATTCTAAAGAGTAAGTTTGAAGAAAAAAAATCATCAAAATCCGAACAACAGCAGTGTGATTTCCAAAAAAGGCGACTGTGTCATTTTGACGTAACATAATAGAAAGGTCTGCGCACTCATTTATTTTAGATTAAGTTGTAAAATTTGGATGCGAAAGATAGCATGTCTAGAGTTGTGAATAAAATTTGGACTTTTCTCACTATGTTTTAATCGTTTTATTTCTATTTATTTGTATATTATATGATGTTTTGCTTTGTTTTTGTGCATGAATATGTTGATTTTAATCGAGACGATAAAACTGTCTAAGTGTTTTCTTTTCAATTCTCAATAAATTTCACCATCAACATCTGGCAGGTTACCCTTTTCCTTTAAAAAATCCCCCTCTCCTTTATAATAAGTGACCCTGTTCCAGTCTCCTTTTCACTCCTGATAATTTGCCCTTTTTTATACTTTGACTTGTTCCCCTTTTTCTTTTTACTAACTGCACTTTTTACTTCTAAGTGCCCTTTTCCCTTGTAATAAGAGACCCTTTTTCTTAAATGTCACTTTTCACCTCTGTTAAGTGCTTTTTTATTTTGACACTTGCCTCTTTTCCTTTTAAATAAGTAATATACATTACTTCATACATAGTATGTCCTCGGAAGGAAGATTATCTAGAGGGGCAGCTACATTATGACCTTTGACATTCCATAAGTTTTGCATAAGATGCATCTATTTATTGGATTTTTTTCCAATTTGAACGACGATTTTGGAGGGTCATTGTTTATGCAGGAGCAACGACTTAAAAATACGCCAATTACTGTTTGTTGATTGGCCATCAACAAAAAATTTCATGCAAAAAAAAAAAATTCATTCCCAGAACTCCCTACGATTTGAGCACGAAATAAAGAAAAATGGCGGCTGTATTAACTGCAACTTTTAATTTTTTCCATTAAAAACAATGGACCAGCTTTTTCTTTCAAGTGAATTTCTGTTCTAATAGAATTTGGTAAAGTAAATCTCAGTGAAGCAGAAAATCTTCAGGCGACCATCAACATCGACATAGGCGCCGGAAGTAGGGGGGGGGGGGGCAAAACGCATTTCGCCCCCCCCCCAAAAAAAAAACAGTAAAGGAGTAAACATGGTTTGTATTTTTAATTCAAAAGAATGTAACAATAATAAAAACCTGAATTAAATCACAAAAGGAAAGTTCACAGTAATTAAGTTTCATAAAATTGCGCATGCCACCTATACGGTATTTTAAATGGAGGTCTCTATAATAGCGATACGCGCATATCGTGGACATATTGTGCGAGAATGGGAAAGCGTGTCCGTTTTTTTGTTATAGGGGTGAGAAGACATGATCCCCTGAACGCTGGCGTACTTATGGGGGGGGGGGGTAATGTATTTCTTATACGAAACAAGTGATTTACAAATGTTGATGTTGTGACATGATTTTCCGGTATTTTTTCTTCATTTTTGTTGTAAGTCATACTTTTTATGCGTATTGCGTTTGTTGGAAAATAAGAAATTCCAACATTACAGTCAGGCGAAATACGCTCATTTAGAAGCCTTTTTGTTATGGTCTGCAAAGTGGCTGGGCTCGAGCCCCCCCCCCCCTCCTTTTTGAAAAAGTATGTAAAAGAGAAAAAGAAAGAAAGACGGAAAAAAAAAATAGTGACCTGCCAATGTCACAAATAAGGTATAAAAAATGCTCATCTGACCGTAATTAAATGCCTAAAACCCCGAGCTTCCAGGTGCTCTGCCTCCTGGACCCCAACAAGGGCTCTAAGGCGGGCCCTTGGATGCTCATCTGACCGTAATTAAATACCTAAAACCCTCGAGCTTCCGGGGGCTCTGCCCCCTGGACCCCACCAAGGGCCTTAAGGCGGGCCCCTGGATGCTCATCTGACCATAATTAAATACCTAAAACCCCTGAGCTTCCGGGGGCTCTGCCCCCTGGACCCCACCAAGGGCCCTAAGGCGGGCCCCTGGATGCTCATCTGACCGTAATTAAATACCTAAAACCACTGAGCTTCCGGGGGCCCTGCCCCTGGACCACACCAAGGGCCCTTAGACGGCCCCTGGATGCTCATCTGACCGTAGTTGAATATTAAAACCTCTGAGCTTCTGGTGGCTCTTCCCCCCCCCCTATATCACTTTGGAGGCGATCTGGATGTAGCTATCTTTCCGAAGCTGAGGATAGATAGCGTATAGGCCTACAAATTGTATATTCAGATCGCCTAGGAAGTGATAGGCCTACTGATAGCAAGCGCGTAGCCAGGATTTTATTATAGGGGTGGGGGTGGGGCGGTAGTAAGCACGCGGAGCGTGCGAATCACTTACAGAGCGCTCCCTAGGGGGGTGCGTGCAGGCAGGGGGGAGTTTCCATCAAAGCTTTCAGGGGGAGTATCCCCCACCCGCGCAAAGCGCGAAAGCTTTGACGTTTCATTAGATTACTAGAGAAAGAAGGCGATTCATTGTACCGTTCTCGACTCTTAATCCCTGTCTAAATATAGTTTCTATTGACGTTTCATTAAATTTTTAGAAGACGATTCGTTGTACCGTTCTCAACTCTCATAATCCTTGTTTGAATCAAGTTCCCCTTCCTCCGGGCGTAGCGCGGAAGCTCTGACGTTTTATTAAACTATTAAAGAAAGAAGACGATTCGTTGTAGGCCTACCATTCTCGACTCTTTTCAGTTTGCCCCCCTACCGTGCGAAGCACGGAAGCTTTGACGTTTCATTTAATTATTCGAGAAAGAAGACGAATGGTTGTACCGTTTTCGACTCTTAATCCTTATCTGAATTCAGTTTTCCCCCGCCCCTCCCGCGCGATGCGCGGAAGCCTTGATGTTTCATTAAATTATTAGAGAAAGAAGACGATTCGTTGTATCGTTCTCGACTCTTAACCCTTTTTCTTCCTACGTCCTCTTCCTTTGTTCTTTCTCTGTCTCTCTTTTTTTTTTTGGCCGGCGTTTTTTTTTTTTTTTTTTTTTGGGGGGGGGGGGGGGCGACTGCCCCCACCGCACCCCCTGGCTACGCGCTTTTACCATCGCCTGAAACCAAAGGGTGGTTATTTGCTTTATATTCCACATCGAAAAAAAATTCACTGGTAGGGTGTACAAGAAAGACGATCTAACTGTTTTTAGTGTTAGGCCTATAGTTTTAACTTTTACTATACTTCTAGATCTAGGTCCAGATCTAGATTACAACTCTCTGTTAGTGTTACTGTTAGATTCCATTTCTGTACAAACGATGGCATGATGGGAGTGGGTAGGTTTGATCTACTTACCAACAATGCTATTCCAACTAACTCCATACAAATTCCATAGGCTAGCACTTAACAGGTCTAAAATCAAAGTGAACTCCAACTCCGAGTTAGAAAACTTTTGTTGAAAACTCCAAGGAATACGACACGCACAGTTCATGCAATACTTAACTACGCACGTATACGCAACGTATACAATCAAATTTGTAATTCGGGCCACATATCGCCGTGGTAGCCGTGGTTGCCTGCTGCGTTGAAAATAGTACACAGTGCAACGCACTTTCACTGAAGATAGTACACAGCAAGTGCACCCTACATGTAGATAGTAAACAGTGTCCATCAATGATGGCGAAACTATGTTTTATCACGTGATTAACTT